CCTGGCTTTGGAGATTCCCAGTTTATTCGTTCTCTCCCACCTGGCTTTGGAGATTTCCAGTTTGCTTGTTCTCTCCTACCTGGCTTTGGAGATTCCCAGTTCCCAGCAAGTCTGGTGGCCCCAGTGGCAGTTAAAACACTGTCAGGTACAATCCATGGGTCAGTGGTGCTGCTCTGCAACATCCCTGTGGTAAAGAGAGATCAGAACAGGACTTTATGTCATTTTAGATTTGGGGGGAGGCAGTTTATAGCTCCTAACCGTATGCTGATATATTTTAAATTGTTTTTCTTCAACAGTGTTGGACTTGAGCAGCAAGTGGCTATTTTAGTGTTTGCAGTACACTTAGCGAAGTGACAGCTTTGCACACCTTTTTTTGCTGGAGTTACTGACCAGCAGTGCTTGCCACAATTTCTGCCAAGTTACCCTACTGGGTGCTATTTTTAAACAGCCAGGCAGGAGTCAATATCCCAGAGGAAAGCCTGAAAGTGCCATGTATTTCAGAGATGAGTTGTTCCACCGTGGAGAATTACCCCATGACTATGGAAGAGGATCCTACCCAACATGAGCTGCCTACCGCAATTTATTTTTCAGAATTAAAATTGTTAAATATTTCAGTTCTTAATCAACATTGGGCTAAGGAAGGCTGGATGATGTGCATGACAAGGCCAGTATAGAGCTGAGTCTCCTCAGGGTTACACAACCAGAGCTGGAGAGAGCTAACTTTTCTAATAAACTTCTTTTTTTTCCTCTTCCAAGTAGGCTGCATCTGCTCTACTTTCCCTCACTTCTCCCAAGTGCACAAAGACACAAAATCCTCTTCTCCTCCTGGCTGATCTTTGCTACATCTTCCTTGTCAGCTCTAATGTCAAAGCAGGCTAACTTTAAAAAAAAAAATTAAAAATCTGCTTCTGCAAGAGAAAGCTGCACTTACAATAAGTACTGATATTCAAACATATTTAAATTATAAGAAATAGTTTTCATGCATAGCCTGATGGTATTAAGATAAGCTATTATCTGGATTTTTCTCTGTAGGCAAGATTAGAAGGGAGAAACACCAAGGATGACAAGCAATTTTGTCTAAAAAGCTAAATCAAATAAAATGTTTCATGGAAAATCAGGCACTGAAATCTGGGTAGAACTTGGTTCTGCTGAAATAAGAAATTTCAATATTGCAAAGGCCTTCAGACTATACACAGGGACATTATTCCCATAGCATTCTGACCATCTCCTTGTCTCTGAATATCAGGCCTTTCTTCACATTTCTAATATATCATGTGCCCCCAAAACTTTGGAAAAAAGTGCAAAAGCTCTTCAAATCCAATTTTATTTTCTCTTAGGTTTTCAAGTATATTTCATTCCTTGAATCATTTGTTAGGAAAAAAGACCTTAAAGCATGTTTTCTTTCTTCTCCTTCCATGCAAATGATGATTAAAAATTACAGATTCTGGAGTAATGATGGTGAAAAAATGTCTCATGGTCAAATGGTATCCAGCCAGCTTTGAGAGCTGCAATTACAGGAGCAGGAAAACTGTAAACAAAATGAATATTTTGAATACTAAAAAAACCAACCAAACAAACAAATCTGCATTTCTTAATGAATATCCTGAGGCAGATACTACAATTATGCCTATACTGCACACAAAATGAGTTACCAGAAGAGAAAGATGTACAAGCTAATTTGGAGCAGCTTAATCAGGATCCCACCCAAGTACAAGTTTTGTCCCATCATCATCCAGGAGTGTGGTATTTTCTGGGGTCCCCTGTGGCAGGAAGGAATGAATCTGACTCCATGTTCTTCAAAGGTTAATTTACTATTTTATGATCTATATTTTATTAAAGAAGGCTACACTAAACTCTACTAAAGAATAGAGAAAGGATACTTACAAAAGGCTTAACAAGATTATAATGAAAAACTTGTGACTCTCTCCAGAGTCCTGACACAGCCTGATGAATGAGTGATTGGTCATTAAGTAAAAACAATCCACATGAAACCAATGAAACAACCTGCTGGATAAACAATCTCCAAACCACATTCCAAGGCAGCAAAACACAGGAGAAGTAAATGAGATAATGATTGTTTTCCTTTTTCTCTGAGGCTCCTCAGCTTCCCAGGAGAAGAAATCCTGGTGAAGGGATTTTTCTGGGAAATATGACAGTGACATAGAAGCTTGAGTTTTCCTGCCCCAAAGCTCCTCATCTGGGGGGGGGGGGCCTTTGCAATTCCAAGCGTCAGGAATGTCTTTATCTCCCACTGAGCACCTCCTGCCCTTTCTGCTTCTGCTATGTAATATTAGTGTTAAGAAAAAGCTGTTGGACAGTAGCTCAACACAATTTGTGTGTGGGAAGGGTTTTACAGTGACTGCTGTGAGGCAGAGAGAAGTTTGATAAGAGGATCCATGTTTACCCCTGAAAGAATTTCCTACCAAGGTCATTGACATAGAAACCAAGAAAGAAAGAAGGATAAAGAGAAATCTACACCTGCCTATTCCAATGAGCATTATGTTTGTCTTTCCTGACCTAAGAGCAAAGTGTAAACTCAGGAGTTTTTTAAGAATGAATGAAAAGCATTCATGCTATAATAAAAACAGGTTTGAAGACTTCTGAAACTGGAGGGTTGCTTTGTATTTTCTCCATCTCAACTACAACATTCGTGTTCTCATTCTGAAATGCAGAATTCTGTGTTTAATGCATTGGCAGCACACATGGGGAGTGAAACAAGCACACCTGGCTCAGTCTGACAGCTAATCTTCTTCCAGCTCTGCCTGGATATCTTGCTCCTACCAAGATTTAGCTTTTTCTCTTTTAGCATTCAAGGTTTTGCACACCAAAGACCCAGCAAGCCTCAGTCTCCAACTCTTCTCACAACTGATGCAAAAGTATTTGAAAAGGAGATTCACAAATGTTCTGAGCCGGGAAGTCTCTGCTCAGAATTAACGTCGTCTCAGAAGCAAGAGCAGCACTTCTGCCAGCAGAAGACAAATTTGGGGCCTATTTTGAGCTTCAGATAAATCTTGAGCACATTTGAAGGCATTCAGGACCTGCAATGAGAGAGCACACAGCACTTGCATAATGTCTGTCAGCACACAGCCAGCAGAGGCTGCTGGGGTCACAGGGGGAGATCCTCTCAAAGTGAATGAGCACGGCTTGTTCTGGTTTCCAGGCTCCTTGAAAAGAAAAGATCTGTTTCAATTCCAGGGCTGGTTATTTTCCTGTGTGAAGTCCTGGCAGCAGAGCATTTTCTTAGAAGCTGTAATTTGGAACAGAGCCTTTTTTCCACTAATGGGAAAATCTCAAAGGTTTTGTGAAGATTACATAGGCACTTAAAGATTCAGAGGGTTGTTCCAACTGCCTGAGCTACCTGAATTTGAAGTATTTGTTCTGAGCTTTGACAAAACCAACTGGTAGGCATGGTTGAAATTTTATTTTTATTTGTTTTAAATCACGTATCTCTTACTGCTGGCTGTATTTTTCTGAACTTTTTTATTTTTCCTGTTCTGTTACAGGAAAAAGAGATTTGTAACTGATTTCTCTAGTCACTGATTTATCTATAAAAACACTTACTGTTTCTCATGAAACAGTAAATGTGAAAAATAGGCCTCTTTGCTTTTCTAGACAGTTTGTTTATTCCCAGATATTTTGAAAACACATTTGCACAATTTTGTGTTCACTCTTAAAACCTGAATTTAGCCTCCAGCTGTCTAAGCAAAACAACCCATAAGAGAATCTCTGCACCAGAGAGATCTTGAAGCCTGTACAGAAAAACGTTAAGAAAGAGGCCACAAAAATAATATGGGCAGACAAGCCAGACAAACAATTAAGGCAGGTCCAGCCTTTGAAAGCGTGCCAACAATGACATGGATATGACTATAATGTACCCTGTTTTGCATGGATTTGGGATAACACTTTTTATTTTGCCTAATTCATTGTGAATATGAGACTGCAGGAATGTACTGCCCTCCAAAACACACCTTCAAAATCAGTTATGAGCGTGTCCCGTGCAAATGTTCCCTGCTCCCAAATCCTTTGAGCAGCTTTCAAACTCTCATTCAAAACATTTTAATAATTGTTTTTTCCCAGCTTTCCTAGCTGAGTGTGGGAACAGCAGTTTTGAGGAGCAACAGGGTCTACCCAGATAAAAAAAAATAAGATAAAAAGCATGAAATAATAATAAGTATGTAAATAAAATAACAATATAACAACAACAAGCATGTAAATGAAATAAACACGCATTTGAGGAAACATGGAGGAGGGCAAGACAGGTAACACCTTAAGAGCATTTTAATGCAAGTTTGTGGCACTTCCACGATGCTGAAGAGCTGCTGCCTGTGCTGTCATAACCAAATACACCTCAAATGGCTGGAGTCAAGTCTGACAGTACATTTTTGCCTTTTAAGTCTTTGTATTTAAATAACTGCTCTGATTGTGAAGCTTTCTGCAAGCAAAATCTCCTACAATTCCTGTGGGATGCCCTGAACTGGGATCCAATTCAGGTGATGGGGAGGCTTCCCACACCCCATCCCAGATGGACACAGGGATCTTGTAGCTCTGCATCTGTCCTTTGCATCCCATTTTTCCTGACTGCATCAATTCTGTGCATGCCCACCCAGCTCTACCTGTTGGGTGGATGGTTCTGCTTCTTGGAAAAGCAGCATTTCTTAGAGGGGTGAAGCCTTTTAAGGCTATGGACCAAATAATAAAAAGAAAAATTATGTGGCTTTTTCTTATTTAAAGCACACATCTCCCCATAAATGCTTCAAATAGTTCCTGTTTACTGCAGAATATTTGGTTTTTTGCAGGTGTGGATACTCCCCCTCTGAAAGCCTCTTTTTATGTGTGCACTCTGCATGGTAAGGCCCCACAGAGATTTTCAAGTTAAGCTGAAATTATAGAGAAGAACTGAAAAAAACCTCCAGTCTTACAAACTTATTGAATTAAACTTCTGGCAGCACTTGAGCTGCCCCTGCAAGGTATGGGTACATAGGGTAGCTGATATACCCTCCACTACAATATGGAATTAAAAGCATTTTACTGCACCATTCCTGCTGTTTAATTTTAAAGCATCAAATTAAAGCTTAATAAAGCCCTAATTAGGTTGCTTTATGATAAATTATTCAAGAGACATTTCACATATTCCACAGTAAACTGAATTCCCTCAGTTCTTTGGCACACAAATACCTCATTTCA